ATACATTGAATTAACAAGTTCCCTAGTCTGTATCCCTTATGTTTGTTCAAGGGCAGAAAGAACACACTTTAGTACCATCAGAGGACAAACAGATAAGAAGAGTGACCTTACACATTAGGAGGAATATTCTAGCCTGGGCAGAGAGGTATATAAATAAGCCCTTGAACAAAAAGAAAACAGTGAAGCCAGCAGGATAGCCTAGAGGCCTGTATCCAAACCTGAGGGTCTGGGCTTCATCCCTGGGACCCACACAAAGGGAGAAATTGACTCCATTAGCTGTCCTTTGACCCGCACAGGCACTGTGACACACACGTCACATAAATAAGTAAAATGAATGTGTAAAAAAATCTAAATTTTAAAAAAATATTCCATTTCTGTGTTTAAAAAAAAAACCACTTATGCTCACCAGCAAGGAATTATCCTGGCCATCCTATTCTCCCAGCACAGGGTCTTACTAGGAGCCAAACAGTTTGGAGATGTGAAAAGACAAGAAATAAATTTAGTTATCCGTACCTACAGAGCCTGTGTTATACAGCAGAACTTCTGCTGGGGTCCCTATGATAGGAGGACCTCCCAGACCTGTCCACTCATCTACTGTGGTGGAGGGCAGTATTGAAGAACTCTATAGCCTGGTAGGCTGGGGCCCTGAGACCACATTTAAATATTATCGCTGTCACAACATTTGGTCAGTTGTTTTCATGACTTTGGACAAACTAGCTTAGATTTGACCGCTTCCCGGCAGACTCTCTTAGACAGGTCCAACTCCCTTGCAGTCTTTTTGGACGGGGCACACGTGCTAGCGGGAGGAGCAGTAGGCACCTCCTCCTTTTTCAAGGATGTCACCTTCTGTTTTCATCAGTGCACCTCGCCCCCCAGTTGAGTAGAGATCCTTAGGCCAGGGTAGTACTTTAGTCCTTATACCTAGCACAGGGCTGGCATTTAGTAGGCGCTGGTTAGTGCCTGGTGAAGGATACCAAGCGCCTCTTCGCAGAAATAAAACCATTCCTTCCGAGTCCACTTGTAAAACGCGACACGCACCCTTCCCTCTGGATCTGTCTTACTGACACTCTTCCGGAGTCAGTCTGCCAGCCCGGATTGGGTGTAGTTCCACCTTGAGGATCATAAACTCCCAGGAGGGACAGCTCTTCCCGCCCAGAAAGACTGGGTCCCTGGGTCTCTGGTGAAGGGAGTCCAAAACTTCTAACAGCAGGAGACTCTCGGGTCTCAAGGAGAAAGGAGTCACCTTCCGCCCTGTCTCTGACCTGGGGGTCCCACCCGAGATGCAAAGCCTTCAGACACAGCGTTGCTGCACCCACCTCTGCCAGGGCCGACTCGACTTCCTGGCTCCGCTGTCTCGGAAACAATCAGCGCCGCCATCACCCCGGAGCCCACGTGGGGACCAAAAAGGCAGTGCTGGAAGAACGCGGAGAACCCAGGCAGCACTAGCGACAGCCGAGAGGCAGGCAGAGGGCGGGGACTCTCGCAGGGCGGAGACAAAAGGGAGATGTGGGCGGTGCTACAATGGTCCGCCTTCGGTCCAAAAGGTCTGGACTCTCAGGACACTCCGGTCCTCTAGTGGTCTCAAGACCACTGCAGTTGCCTTCTGAACGACTTTGTCCCCCCGCTCTTCCCTGGCCTGGTTCAAAGCTGTCACTGGCCGATAAGTGTGCCTGAGCGAGTTCTGCCGACCTTCCTGTTGCTCCCCACCCTCACCCTTGTTCTTTTTTGGTAAGCAGTAGTCTGTCAGCTGACATAGACACATTCTCTACCCAGAGGACGCTGCTGTCCCAAAAGAATGGAGCCTTAGTGCCTACCAGCCCAGCTCCCACGCTGAAAATTTGATGTGGATTGCTGTGCGCCCACCATGTGGAGGATTGATATGGGAGAAGCTGGAAACTATAAAGGCTTTCTTGGAAGCATGGGGCAGCCAGAGACCTCCAATTCTCTAAACCTTCTGGGTCCTGGCAAGCTTTGGCCTATCTAGGCTGTCTTTCAGGCGATTGTCTTTTTCCTGATCGGTGGACAGCACTCCTGGGACCCTAAGAGAAGGCAGAGTTGCCAGTGAGACAGCCTCGACCTTTGTAAGAACAAAGCACCTGCAGGGATGACCCTCAGCAGTCAGCACCACAAAGCCGGGTCCCCAGGACTCTAACCCCTCCCCCCATCACTCCCATCTTCCTCTCTATGCAGTGGTGCCATGAGCACGGCTGTCCCTTTAAGACAGCTCTGTGGCCTAAGGCTCCCCTGGAGGCCCTCCCTGCTTGGAAACCCCTAATTAAGGTGCGGAGAGACTTAAAAACAAGCAGTCGGGGACAGGCCTTGCCTGGGAGGCTGCTCAGAGGAGAGATGGCTCAGCAGGCTGGGAGTGAGCAGCCAAGGGAAGGGATGGAAAGGGTCGGTGCCCCTCAGTCTGTGCCACTCTGAGGATGGTATGACTCGGCTCAGAATGTGTTCATTGTGGCACAGTCTTTCACCTTGGTGAGAGTCCAGCCTGGGCTTCCCATGTTTTCCAGCTTTTCTGGACATCTCCCAACCCCTCAGAGTGCAGGGTCTGAGCTCCAGTAGCCAAATCTGTCCCCTTGGCACACCAAAACCTAGACTCCTTGTGGATGGCTTCCTTTCTGGTTTTCGCTTCAATTTCCATGGTGAAAAGATTGTCACCAGTGGCACAGTGGCTTCTCCCCAGCAACTGCCTCATCCCCTGGGGCCTTTACCTGGTCAAAGGTATGCCCATGTCGTAACATTGCTGTATAGCTTCCATCAGTCATGAGCAGCCCTGCCCCCGTTAGGAAGCCAGGTGATACTGAGGAAAACTGCAGTGCAAAACAAAGAATGTGTCCCTAAGACCTTGCCGCACAGGACACCGTAGCTGCCAATCAGGGTTGAGGATACTTCCATGTGTCCGTGGGGGTCTCCCTTCCTGGGTTACTCAGATGTCTGAGTAATCACCGCCTGTTGAGAAGGCAGACTCGATGTACCCCCTCCCCCATTACAGCACAGTGCCCACCTACAGCCACCCCCATCCCCTGGCTGGACTCCAAGTCAGCATCCAGCCCTCCTGAAACCCAAAAATAACTGCTTCTCACACTCACGCCGCCCAACTTTACCCAATATATTGGAGTTCGTGGGGCAAGGGGGTTATGGGGAGGCGGCATGGGAAGGTGGGAAAGGAATGGCATACCCTCTTTGAGCCCACCCTTTATCACTGCTCACTGGGTGCTCTTGAGCAAGCTGTTTAGCCTCTCTGGGCCTTAGTTTTATGGACTGCCTCCACAGGTCTCGGTGTCCTAGAGTTTAGTCTGCAGAACTCAGGCGGTGCAGGGTCAGAGGAGTTCTACAGCTGGCGGGGACTATGAGAAGGAAGGCTCTGTGTTCCCAACTCTAGCAGGACCAAGCTGGGTTACTAAATAAGGTTACTTTAGATCTTCAAACATTTGTGCCTTCCATCCTTCCTGAGTGCCCTTTCCTCTCAACCTGTTGAACCCAGACCTCAAGGGCACCTTCTCTGAGTCTCCCCCACACCTTATGTTACTTCCTAGTCAGCCCCTTCCTGTATCTGGTAACTTTAGATGCTCTTGAATGGAGCTTGTGGGGCTTCTATCATTTGCTTTTTTTTTTTTTTTTTTTTTTTTTTTTTGGTTTTTCGAGACAGGCTTTCTCTGTAGCTTTGGAGCCTGTCCTGGAACTAGCTCTTGTAGACCAGGCTGGCCTCGAACTCACAGAGATCCGCCTGCCTCTGCCTCCCGAGTGCTGGGATTAAAGGCGTGTACCGCCAACACCTGGCTCTATCATTTGCTTTGGATTGTCCTGAGACCGGTGTTCTGACTTTAAACCTTAGGGTACCGAGTACCTGAGTACCTGAATGATAATGGCCTTGCTTTTGATCTTCCTATCACGGCCAAGTTTACTCCGCAGAGGAATTCTACTCTCTGTTCAGAAGACAGCTGTCAAATCAGCTCCATCTCCACGCCGACTGCCACTCCCACCACAGTGAGCTTCTGAAAAACACCCCGCTTGTTTATCTTCCAGGCTCTCATCTGAACTTTTGTCATTTGGTCCTAGAATAGAAATTTCAGGAAGACAAGGACCTTCTCTTTTTCACTGACTGAATTCCCACATAGTGTAACGCATGTGTTCAACTGGGTGACCTGGCCCAGTCTTTTTCCTTCATTCGAAGTCATTCTTATCTCAGGCCAGTAGGGGGTGCCGGCCTCCACCTAGGATCTCTGCTGGCTTGAGCCTTCCCGGCACTTGGCCCAGAGGGCCCTTGCAGGACCCGCTTTCCAGAAGATAACCTTCTCCCCCTTAGGAGAATCCTCGCAAGGGCGGGGTCTGTGTAGGACCGGTGGGGGCCAGCGGCCCTCCAGCCGGAGATAGTCTACCTGAATTCGCATTAGTTCCTTATAGGATTTTCAACTGTACCTCCTCGATTGCTTGTTGTCCCGCAAATCTACCCCCAAAAAAACAGTGTCTTGGGACTCGGGATGGGGAGACCGCTATTTTGACAAAGCTGTTCTGGGGCGGGCAGGGAAGAGCCGTCGAGCCTCGCAGGAGGAAGGGGCACTGGTCAGAGGGAGACGGGGCAAGGGTGTTGGACTTGTGATCAGGACTCCGGGAGGGCACACGCTTCCAGCCGCTTCTCTCCATGACCTCCAGTCGCGAAGGGCGAGCAGGCGGGGGCTGGGCTGCGGGTGCGTGCTCGGAGAAGCCTGCGGGGCCGGGGAGGGCGGTTCCAGTGGCCCGACGACCCGCCAAGGACTGGGGCAGGTACTTGGACGGACGCGGGCTGAGGATCATCCCCGGGGGCAGGTGCAGCGAAAACACCTTGGAAGGCGGCGCCGCACGGCTGAGCGCCGCTGCCCTGGGAATAGGACGGCGCTCCGCACCGCGAGCTGAGAGCACTTTCATAAATTTTGTATGGGAGGCGCTCCGTGAGCGGGGGCGGGGAGCGGAGAGGGAGGGAGGGAACTGAAGAGCGAGGGAGGGAGGGAGGAGGAAGAGAGGTGGGGGAAGCCAGGGGGAGGAAGGGAGGCGCCCCGCTCCGCGGATCGCTCAGTCCTGCAAACGCGCGCCGGGCGCTTCCCCGGGAGCTGGGCTGTGCGAGTGAGCGCCCTTTTGCAGCAACCGCTGCCCGAGGGGGCGGGGAAGAGGGGACTCCGGCCGGCCGGCCAGGGGGCGGCGTCCCCCCCTCAAAACCGCCTACAAAGTGTTTGGGGAGGCAAAATCAGGCCGACTGCTCGGCGGAGCAAGCCACTCGCCCCGGGGCTGAGCGAGCGCACTGGGTTGGTTGGGAGCGGTTGCTAGCGGGCGCCGGTGCCCTGGGCGCCGGGCTTGGGCTCACCATGCTCCTGCGGGACCGGGTCGCCGGGCACAAGCGGATCCCCGGCTTGCCCCCGCCTCGACGCGCTCGGATTAGCTGCAGCTGGCTCCCAGGGATTTGAATCTGGACCCCAGGAGGGAGCGCGCTTAGGCCGACCTCGGAGCGGCGGCCCCCCGGCCAACATGCTTCGCAAAGGTGAGTGGGAACCGTAGGAGCAAGTTGGAGTTGAATGGAACTAGGCAGAGCCTCAAGTCCCCAGAACCGTCGAGCTCCGGGGAAATGGGTCCCGGAAGCAGACCCCCGCTAGCTGGCTGGCTTTTGTCACAGGCACCCGCCGTGCGCCTGCTGCTGGAGCTGAGATTCCGTTGGTGGCCTGTTGCGAAACATGGGGTTTGTTCGTGGATCGAGTGGCCAGGCCTCAGGGGTCTGTTTCGAGGGCTCAGAGACCAGAGTAGAAGCCTTTGGTAAAAAAGGAGCTGGCCTCCTGGGACCTTTGCTTTGCCATTATAAAGTTTTGCACTTGCAGGCTCCATCCCCTGCGCGGGCACCTGCCACTGCTTCTGCTGCTTCTGCACCGGGTACCAGTGCAGCCAACGGTCAGTTACCGTGCGACCCCGGCGCTCACCGCGGGTCCTAACTCGGCATCTTCCTAGCATCCTAGCCTTATCCCCGGGGACAAGCCCTGAGCACTCAGCGACTGAGGGTGGGGAGTGGCAAGAGCCAGAAGTCCGGTTTCTCAAACTTTCCTTATGCCTGGATCAGAGGGACGCGACAGCTAAGGCCGAGCTGGCAGTGTGCGCTGCCAGAGCCAGGCTCAACTTGACTGGAGCTGTCTCGGCGACCACCTCGCCCAGACTCCCCGGCAGCAGGAGCGCAGCAAAGTTGGCGCGGGTGGCGGGGAAGTCCTGCCGCGCCCCCACGTGGTTGCCGTTCTGGGTGCTGTCCCTCGGGTCCAGAAAGGGCAGGTGACCGACCACACGTGAGCCCGCGGACCTGTCACCCTCCGCTCCCCGCCTCTGCATGTGTTTCTTTGCTCCGAGGTCCCAGTGAGCTGGCTGTGGTGCCCCTCTGGGACCCCCTTGTCCCTAGCCTGGGCCCGGCGGCTGCTGAGCTGCGGTGTCTGCTGCTGGCTGCTCCCGCCCTGCGGGAGCCAGCTGAGGCGGGAGCTCAGGTAGCGGAGGGGCCTGATCCCTGCGCTCCGCGCTCCAGCCTTAATCCGCCCCTGTTTCCATGGCAACAGACCGAGGTGTCGTAAGCACAGGATTCTGACCTCACAGCAGGATGGGGAAGGAGAAAACGGGCAGGGGGAGGTGGTAAAGGTGGGGGAAGCAAAGCCCCTGATGGGCGGACAGAAGTAGATACCCGATGATGAGAGAGAGCCAGATAAGCAGGTCAGACAGGTGGGTGAAAAAGCCACACCTTCCATGTGAGCAGAAAGGGTTGAGTGGTGGTCCAGCCTCAGGCAACCGTGGAGGCTTGGTTGCCCCACCGTGTAAGAACAGTCACAAACTTGTGTATGACTTGTGCCCTCCACGTGGTCAGTACAGTACGGAGAGGGGGGACGACACACTGCCTTTGGCTGTGGCGTGGGGCAGTTCTCTGCAGTAGTTAGAGGAACTGCTTTGCTGTTGACACCCCAGTTCCTTTCACTGCAGAAAGACACAGAAAGTCATTTCAGACACTCAGCAGTGCTGGAGTGCTGGCCAGTGTGTCGGCACAGGAAGGTGATCTTACAGAGCTGAAGACAGTGGAGTCTGAAAAGCCTGGGCATAGAGCATGTAGACTCGTTCTAGCCGGGAAGGCTTCCCAGGCAATTTTTAAAAGGCTGCCATGTCTGGGCTGCAGGTCTGTGATGGAGATAATGGGGAAGAACTGACATCTCATTTCCCTTTTGGTCTTTTGTCTTTTGGCAGTTTACAGTTAAAAATGAGCCACAAAGCAGCCCACACACTTTAGTTATATGGTTTAGGTGCCCAGGGAGGCTCCAACAGCCTTCAAGAGCTCTCTAGTATCCTTGCTAGCCAGAAGCCCCAGTGCATCCTGGGAGGGGATGCTCCCTGGGAGAAGGCACCTTTCCCTGCTCATGAGGTGGTCACTGGAAGCCTGGTAGTCACGTGTGTTTGCCGCTTGGCAAACACCCTTCCTGCACAGAAGAGGTTGACTAGAGAGATTCCATCGATTGAAGTTCACACCTGGGTTGACTTGAAGGAAACAGAGCAGAGAAGCCCTTGCCAAGGCTGAGTGGGGCGTGGGTGGCCTGGAGCCTGCTCATGGGATACCGTGAGAGCAAATGACTTGTTCTGGTGCTTTTCCTGGGCAATTTTCTCGTTGGGTCGCTGGTCTGATACCATGGATTTGTCTCTTCTACACATGGAGAGATGTTCAGATGTGGATTGTAGGTGTATGCCGAAAGCCAAAGTATGCCTCGGGCTAGTGGCAAGGGAGGTGATCATTGAAGTTTCTGTTTGTGGAGTTGTTCCCAAAGGCTTCAAACAGCAAGGTTTACAGGTTGATTTGAGAAGGCAGTTGCCTGGCTGGTGCAGAATCCTGCATGGGGTCCTGGACCTGGGTGAGCTTAATAGTTTATGGTTTGGATGAGGGTTTGAAGGAAGGAAATGTTTTCTTCCTAGAGGGGGGAGAACAGGCCCTGGACCATGAGAGTCATCTCTCTGATTTCTGGTTGTCCTAGTAAAGTTATTTCTGTCAGGCCTTTTTGGGGGGTTGGGGAGATATCGTTGTCTCTTAATAAAGGGACTCCACTGGCTACCACTGTGTGAACCAGAAGCACCCCAGTGAAATCCAGCTGCTGACAGTGCTGGTATCTGAAGACTTCAGCAGCTGCTCTGCCGGTGTTTCCAGCTCATAGTCTATCTACCCTGACAGGACCAGGGATATAAAAAGCAAGCCTCTGGTCAAGAGAGATGAGAGGCATCAAGGCAAGCAAGGCCCCGAGCCATCCAGCATTTTCCAGGAAGGAAGGGAAGCCTGCTGGGGGGTTTTGCCATTCCAGAATTACAACACTTAAGATCAGGATCTATGGTTTTCATTTTTAGGGCTATAAAAACAGAATGCAAATCAAGAGCCCCTGGGCTAATACAGAGCCCTTTCCTTAAAGTTTTTGTCTTGTTAAGCAAGGAACTAGAGTGCCAAATAGGCTTTGTTAAGTGGCAGTCTAATTAATAATTTAAAATCGTGTAGCTGTCTTTCATTAGAATTTATCTGTACATCAACCACAAAATCAGTCAAACACTCGTTTATAAGTTAATGCCATCCCTAAATAATTCAGCAAATTCTAGATTAAGGCCTACAACCCCGTAAGATGCTTTTGTTCTCCTGGTGGTCATATCTAGATGGGCTGGCCAGGTAGCTCAGTGGGCTTCTGCTCTGTGAGAAGAACGGAAGCAGAGGGAGAAAGTAGTTTGGTGCTGTCAGGTGGCTAGTGGATTCCACAGAGGTCCCTTGTCAGGTGATGTGAGAGTCTCCCCAAGTCAGGTGTGAATGGCGCCATTTCTACATCCTTCTGAGAACATGAGGACCCAGAATTGTGACAACATGGGTTGTCTTTGCCCCAGTGGAAAGAAAAGAGAATATGGTTCATGGATGGCCAAGACACTCTTTCCTGCAGTGGGAAAGATGTGGAGGGGAAATATAAGATCTTTTCTAGAAAGAGCCGAGATAGTTGACTTTTTTAGTCCAAATTCAGCCAGGGAAGTGGAATTTCAGCGTCTCCAACCTTTTTCTATCCCAGCCCAGCCCAGCAATTCAGCCTGGTCGAGCCGTCCTCACCAGATGCTTCTTTATCATCAACCCCTCAGAAACTGTGCCTCTCCTCAGAGCTCCTGGTCCTTCCTCCAGAAGAGAACAGCTAAGAGGAGGTTTTGGGGACACCCAGGCAGAGAGGAAAGGCAGAGGAGGTTGCTAAGTAAAGTCGGTGAGGCGTGGTCTCATCTGCAAGCAGAAACAAGGCGCAGGGTTTCTGCTTGTTTTGTGTTGTCGTATTGAGACAGGGTCTCTCTGTGTAGCCCTAGCTATTCTGGAGCTCACTATATACGCCAGGATGGCCTTGAACCCAGAGATCTACTTGCCTTTGTCTCCCAGAGTCCTGGGTTAAAGGCACGTGGTACCATGCCCAGCAAGAAATGAGCTAAGGACAGTGGTGACCTTGGATAAGATAGGCAGTGTGTTTGACCCGGTTCTTGTCATGAGAGCATGGGGTCCATTTCTTGGTACAGAACCTTTAGGTCCATTTTCTATAGGGAAATTGTCTAGGAGCCAAACTCCCAGGATCAATATTGTTCCTTCTCTGTAGGAGTGAACCTCCTGGGCTCTGCTTCACATACCAGCCGCTAGCCCATCAGAGGGTTCAACACTGCTGTGGAGACCAGGTAGAGAACCATAGCAGATGGGCATAGAGCCAAGAGAGGCTCTTGGCTAAGTCTGACAAGAGGAAGTCTCATTAGGAAAAGGCAGGGAAGGATAGCTATTTGCCCTCTTAACCTGAGCAGAGATGCCAACAGAAGGGGACCAAACAGGGGGAGCCTGAGGAGTGAATCCACCTCTAAGCTCTAGACACATCTTTGGGATGGGGCCTGAGAAAGGACAGAGCAGTCCGTGCCGATGAACTGAGCCGGAGGGGGCAGGCATCATGAAGGATGTCGAGAACGGGTCCGTTTGGTACCATCTGCAGTGAAGTAGTGGTTAAGGTTAAAGCAGAGAGGAGATGACAGGGAGGGAACAGATGGCCAAGGAAGCAAAATAGCTGGCAAAACGGGAACAGAGCCTCCAGAGACAGCAGAAGGCAGGACCTCAGCACCGAGTGCCGGAAGCAGCCCTTTCCTTGGTGTGTGACGGCCAGACCACCCTGGGTAGAAGTGAGTCAGGGAGCTAGCTGAGTATGGCAGCATATGGAGATAATCTGGCACCCAGGAGGCTGAGGCAGGAGGATTGGAAGTTAAAGATCAGTATGGACTACACAGTAAGACACACACACACATCTGGAGATGTGGCTCACTGGGTAGAGCATTTATTTAGTACTATGGGTCTATCAGCAGCGGTATGGGAGGGAGAAGTGAAACAGAAAAGGAGTCATGGTTAGGGATGAGGGAGGGAGCCCTCGCTGGCATGCCTAAGCTAGCGCCCAGGTGCAAGCGCCTTCATAGATGCCCATGAACAGGGCAAAGAGGCAGGACTAGGTT